TCCCAGCGTGGGGGGAGGCGCGCAGGGAATGCGGGGGGATGGAGACGTGTGGGGAACATGGGGACGCGGCCCCGGAGAAGGGACACGGGGACAGGAGCTGCAGGGACACAGCTCTTGGGCTGCCTGGAGGGGCTGGAGCTGCCTGGGGAGGGCAGGGCGGAACGGGGACATGGGGACACAGGGGGATGCAGGCCCTTTACCCCCACAGTGGCCGAGCACCTCATCGCCCAGCACAGCGCCATCAAGATGCTGCACAGCCGGGTGAAGCTGATCCTGGAGTACGTGCGGGCCTCCGAGGCAGGTGAGTTGGTGACAGGGCTGTGCCCGCTGCCGCAGGACGGTGACAGGGCTGTCCCCGCTCTCCCTGGGCTTTCCCTGCTGTCCCAGAGCGGGGCCGGGGCAGGTTTGGCCCTGGGGTGTTCCCAGGGGAGGAGGGCTGTCCCCTGTGCCCAGGAGGGGATGCAGGAGGGCCCCAGGCCTGTCCCCAAGGGACCCGGCTGTTCCCTGGGTCCCCGAGGCTGACGCGGTCCCTGCAGGCGAGGTGCCCTTCAACCACGAGATCCTGCGTGAAGCCTATGCCCTGTGCCACTGCTTGCCCGTCCTCAGCACCGACAAGTTCAAGACCGACTTCTACGATGTGAGTGATGGCTTGGGGGGCCCTCGGGTGTCCCCGGGGGGCTGTGGGGGCGGGGCGGCCGGGTCCCCACGTCCTTCTTGGGGCACACGATGGGGCAGAGCTGCATCTCCTCTGCCACCGGTGCTGTTGGTGGCCCCTGGGCTGCTGCAGCTGAGGGGGGTGTAGATGCAGTCTGGGGGGGCCCAGCAGCCCAGTAACCCCCACTCCCCCCCAGCAATGCAACGACGTGGGGCTGATGGCCTACCTGGGCACCATCACCAAGACCTGCAACACCATGAACCAGTTCGTCAACAAGTTCAACATCCTCTATGACCGGCAGGGCATCGGCCGCCGCCTGCGGGGGCCCCTCTTCTTTGGGGGGCAGGGGAACA